ATAAATAACATTTATAATGTTGGGATATTTATTATGTTTTTAGTAAAATAATTGTTATATATGCATGAGAATGAAATATGTGTTATATGTGCTTGTGTTGTGTAAATTTATTGTACATGTTATTGTTGTGAAATATATTGTACAGGAATTTCTAATTTTCAAAAAAAAAATTTAAAAATTTCAGATTACTTTTAGTGACGGATATTCCGTCGCTAAAAGATCTTTTAGCGACGGTAAACTGACACGCCAGACATGCACTAATACAACTTTTGGCGACGGATTTTCCGTCGCCAATATATATAGCGATGGGAATATGTATAGCGATGGATATTACCGTCACCAAAAAGTATAGAATTTGGTGATGGATTTTCCGTCGCCAATAAATATAGCAACGGTTAAATATATAGCGACGAAAAATACCGTTGTCAAAAAATTATACATAAACGACGGATTTTCCGTCGCTATATAACCGTCGGTGATATTTAGCGACGGATAGGCTGTCGCTAAATGTAGCTTTACCTACCCTCATAATAGCGACGGCTTTTTAGCGACGGGATTTCTATTTTTCCGTCGCTAAAACATTTAGCGACGGATTTTCGACTTTTGGCGACGGATTTGTCCGTCGCCAATAGTCCCCTTTGCAGTAGTGGTCCTTTCTATGTAGATTGGAATTTTTCTTTCTTCTTGGAGTTGAGTATCATTGATCGCCAGACGGAAAGAACCACGTCTCTCTCCTTGAAGCTTTGTTTTCGGACTCTTTTATCAAAAGCCCGGAAGATTCTGGCTTGGTAAAACTCAATTTATTGTTGAGCTTTCAAACGTCTTTTATCTAACATCTTAAGTTCTTTGAGACGTTTCTGATGTTGTTCCTCCATTGTCACCCCTGTTGCGAGAGCAATGCGAATGAATGGAATTTGAATCTCCAACAGGAGGACGGCTTCACATCCATACACGAGAGAATAAGGGGTTGCCCCAGTGGGTGTGCAGACTGGTGTGATAGGCCCAAAGAGCTTCACCAAGTTTATCATCTCAATCTCGCTTGTTGGTTCATACGAGTTTTAAAAAAATCTTTATGATTGTCTTGTTGAATGCCTCAGCTAAACCATTTATCGTGGGATTGTAAGCCGTTGACGAGACATCTTGAATCCCGAACTTCCTGCAAAATTTGATGAATGCATTGCTAACAAATTGAGGGCTGTTATCATGTATGATTAGTCTTAGAACTCTATATCGATAGATGATATGGTGTTTGATGAACTTGACGACGTCACTTGTCTTCACTTCTTTGAGTGGAACTGCTTCGGCCCACTTTGAGAAATAATCGGCGATTGCCAAAATGAAGCGATCACCTTTAGCTAACGATGGAAAAATAGGACTAACAATGTTCATTCCCCATATCTCGAATGGCCATGAAGTAACTGAAGGGTGTAAGTGCTCTAGGGGTTGGTGCATGTAATTTACGTGTATTTGACAAGCGTGACACCGTCGGGCATAGCCAACTGCGTCCTTGACCATGGTTGGCCAATAATACCTCATTCTTTTGAGATGATCATAGAGTTTGGGGCCAGGTTGGTGTGCACCACATATTCCGTCGTGTGCTTCTTTAAGAGTCTCTTCTGCTTCCTGGTTGAAAGACATCGGAGTAGCAAACCGTCATATGCGTGATGATACATCATTTAGGTCACTGTGTTATAATAGAATCTTGGTGCTCTTCGTCGGATAAAATCTCTTTCTTTTATGTCTTCCGACAAAATATCGTGCACGGCATAGTCGATAATGGGAAATCATCAATCTCGAGGCTCGAGTTCAATTCTGACCAAATGCGCCTCCTTGATGTCTAAGGCGCAGTCTGGTAAGAAGAGTTGGTGAGTTCTCACAGTGACCCATTGTTCTGTATCGGGAGGTTGTGCCATATATGTCGCTAATGCCACCAGTGCATCTGTATACGCATTCTGGAGATGCGGAATGTATTCGATAAAGAATTCTTCGACCAAACCTACCATCTCGATGGCCGCCTTGTGGTACGGTATCAGGTCTTGATTCCTGACTTTGTACTCTCCTCAAATCTAGTTGACTATCAGTTGGGAATCACCAAAAGCTTTGAGATATTCAACCCCCAGTTCTTTGGCAAAACTGAACCCAATGAGCAACGCATTGTATTCGGCTACATTATTGGAACATAGTTCGGTGAGTGAATATGCTTGAGGCATCATATGTTTCTCCGAGGAAACTAAAACAACTCTAACTCCTAAGGAAATTTTAGAACGTCCGGGAGCACTTACCATTTTGGTTGCTCAGGAAGCACCATCGAAGTATAATTAGCACACCTATTGATGAAAAGTAGTGTTGACTTCATGGGTTTTATCTGGTAAATCTTCATATAATTCAGCCGCATCCGTTGTAGGGTTAGCTGCCAAAAGATCACAAATCACCTGCCCCTTGACCGACTTTTGTTGTTTGAAGTGCAGATCATATTAGGATAAAAATAGGGTCCACCTTGCTAAACGCCAGTTCATGGAAGCCGGTTGTGTCATGAATACCCAGACTGGGTTAACGTTAGAAATGACATAGATTGTTTGTCCAATGAGGTAGTGATGTATCTTTTGGATGATGAACACTAAAGCGAGGCACTCCTTCTCGATCATTGGCTATCGAGATTCGGCGCCCACCAGAGTTCGACTTAGGTAATAGATAGCTTGTTCGTGATCGTCGTTATCATCCTGTGCAAGTAAAGTACTTAATGAGTGGTTCATCGCCTTAACGTAAATCAAGAATGGTTTACCCGACTTTGGTGCCACGAGAACATGAGGATTCGCCAGATATGCTTTAATATCCTCAAAAGCCTTTTGACAAGCATCATCTCAAATGAATGACACGCCATTCTTCGTGAGCTTGGAAAATGGTTGGCATTTTCTGGATAGATTCGAGATGAACCGACGAATATAGGCTAGTCGCCCTTGCAATCCTCTAAGTTCTTTAAGGTTTTTTGGGGATTACAATTCGTGTATCGCCTTCACTTTATCAAGATTAATGTGGATACCCTTAGTGGTGATGACAAATCCAATAAATTTAGCGCTGGACATTCCTAGGAAAGACTTAGTGGGATTCATCTTTAACTGGTGAGTCTGCATGAGATTGAACATCGTCCTCAAATCTTTGATATGGCCGTCTTTGTTACGACTTTTCACGACCAGGTCATCAACATAACATTCAACGGTCTTCCTGAGGTGTTCTTGGAAAATCTTTAAGATTGCTCATTGATAGGTGGCTCATGCGTTCTTCAATCCAAAAGGTATGACTGTGTAGCAGAAGACACCAAGGGGTGTCCTGAATACGATGTGTTTTTCATCGTCCGGGTACATCTTGATTTTATTGTAACCCGAAAAACATCCATGAAGGACATTCTCTTGAATCCATACGTGTTGTCGATAATAACATCCATGATCATAAGAGGGAAATTATCCTTTGGGCAAGCAGTGTTTAGGTCTCTAAAGTCGATACAGATCCTGATTTTTCCATTCTTTTTAAAGACCGGTACGATATTTGCTAGCCAATCGGGATGTTACTCTTCCCTGACAAAACCCGAGTCGATTAGCTTTTAACTTCTGACTCGATCGTTTTCATAATTTGTGAACGAAATCGTCTTTACTGTTGCTTGATAGGTTTTGCATCCGGTTTAATGTTAAGGTGATGGACTACGACGTTTGGATCAAGTCCTAGCATATCTTCGTAATTCCAGGTAAAAACGTCTATGTATTCCCTGATGAGGGTAATCAATTCTTCTTTCTCGTCTCCGTTGCCCATGTTCACCTGGACCACTTTGTTTTTGGTGGGAGGTTCTCTTTAGTCGAATCTATCGCTATATTAGATATTTAGGTGATGGATCTAAGAATCTTCCTAAGTTGGCAATTGGTCATCTTCCTCTATTGTGGCGGGATCGACCGTGACCATATTCGATATTAGGCCTTTGAATATTTCTTCAAGACTGACGTCGCTGTCCCAATTAGAAGAATCGAATGAGTATCCATCCTTATTCACTAACTAGTCAATGACTTGTCGGTAACATTCGTCATCGGATGAAGAGACGTAGCCCAAGCCCTTTTTATAGCCATAATAATTGTCGGGTTTTTCTTTCGGTACATAAGTCGGACGAGGTGGAACCTATGGGGCTCGACCAAAATAGAGACCTTCTTCGGGTGCAAAGTTGTATCTCTATTTCTTCATAAAGTTACGTGATTGTTGACTGTATCTGAATAAATGAGGACCAGGTCTCCCATCTTTAGAATAGATCTGATGGTGGAGATATCTCCCCTTTGTCGAAAATTAACTCCTTTTCACT